ATCTGGGCAGTTCTACAGGCTGAGGGGCCCCCTGACTGTGATCCAGGACGTGGGACACTCCAGGAGGAGGGGACCTCGGTCTGAGAGGCTGGCAGCTGGTCAGTAGATGGAGGATGTCAGGGCTCGGGATGAGTCAGGGTGAGGACCATCCTACCTGTCACACAGGTGACTCAGGACTTCTCCTGTGGTCAGCGCTTCCTCCAGCCAAACACGGGGAAGGGGGGCTGCAGTCTGAGAGGGGAGGTTAGAGCTTAGGTTTGAAGGGGCAGCCGCCAGGCAGCAGAACAGCAGGTCCCGTGACCCTTCGGTTGGGGGCTGAGCACTCCTTCCTCTCCTCCTCCTGGGTGACAGGGAAGGTGTCAGTGTCAACTTCAGAGCAGGAGAGGGAACAGGGTGGGGGGGGAGGGTTGGATATGGGAGTCTTGCCCCAATTTTCATCCTGACTCTGAATGAGAGCTGAGAGGATTTGCCTCCCCCGCCAGCCCCCACTGGCCACCCCTCTAATGCCCAGGCAGGATTGTCTGCTGCGCCCCAGGGCTCACTCTCACTTGCTACTCAGCGGTCTCAGGGGACCGGCTGACCAGGAGAACAGGAGCCCTGTGGGTCCTAGAGCTGTGGTCTGAAGGACCCTGCAGAAGCGCCCTTGGTTCAAGCCAGGGAGGACTCTCCTTGCTGAAGGTGCTCACAGCGTCTCTTTGTCCCTCTTCCAGGTGCCCTCCTTGCCTGCCTTCCTGCCCGCACTCCCACCTGCAGACCCTGACCTGTGTCACCATGCCTCGGAGGCACAACAATAAGTACCATGCCCATGGGAAACGCCACCAGGTCCAAGGGGACACTCAGTGTCCCCAAAGGCCCAGAACAGTGCTGCTGCAGCCCCGAAATAGGAGTGCCCCTCCTCCCTTCCCCCAAGGTTCTCCCTGGAGCTTCCCTGCTACTGGCGATCGCCAGGAGCTTCAGGGAGCCATGGCCCCTAGCTCTCCTGATGCAGGGGTTTCCTGCGCAGGATCTGATGAAGGTGCCCAGGGCACAGAGGAGGAAAGTGCAGGTGCCTCCCAGGCAGCCCCAGCCACTCAGAGCACTCACAAAGATCCTCTGACCAGGAAGGCCAGCATGCTGGTGGGGTTCCTGCTGGAGAAGTACACCAAGGAGCCCATCACACAGCACACCCTGCTAAAGGTCATCAGCACAGGCAGCACTTCCCCGAGATCCTCAGGAGAGCCTCTGAGCGCATGGAGCTGGTGTTTGGCCTGGAGCTGACGGAAGTCGACCACAGCAGGAACATTTATGTCATCATCAGCAAGCTCAACCCTGGGGGCAACGAAGGTCCAAGTGATCAGGGAGGCTGCCCAAATCCGGTCTCCTGATGATGCTCCTGGAGGTCATCTTCATGAATGGTAACTGGGCCACCAAGAAGGAGGTCTGGGAATTCCTCAGTGTGTTGGGGGTCTATGCTGGGAGGAGGCACTTGATCTTTGGGGAGCCCAGAAGGCTCATCACCAAAGATCTAGTGCAGAAGAAGTTCTTGAATTACCTCCAGGTGCCCAATAGTGATCCTCTGTGCTATGAGTTCCTGTGGGGCCCGAGAACTTGTGCTGAGACCAGTAAGATGAAGGTGCTGGAGGTTCTGGCCAAGATCCACTGTATGGTCCCTAGTTCCTTCCCAGACCTCTATGACGAGACTCTGAGAGATCAGGTGGAGAGAGCAGGGGTGAGAGGCATGACTCAGGCTCTAGCTATGGCTGAGGCCAGTGCCCCTTCCAGGGCCAAGTCCTGCAGCTCCTCCCACATCTAGAGAGGGAGGCCAGGGTGCTTTGTTCCCTTTGTGTTGGAAGAGAGCAATCATGCTCCTAAATAGTGCAGGGTAGTAGGGGGTGGAGGGAACAATACTCATGTGTTCTTAGAGTTTTAAGTAGTAAGGGAGTTTAGGTGCAGTTAGTTTTAACAAAATATATATCTTTTTTTTCCTTTATCCATATGAGTAATATCTAGTGAAATACAGATAATTTAGGTAGGTAGGTAGATAAAGAGATGAAGGAGGTATTTAGTATTTTCAAATGTTAATTACTTTTCACAAGGTTTATTTTCCTTTAGAATACAAATGCATGGATCATATAAATCATAGTTCTTTGCTGCTTTAAAAATTTTAAAGCCACAGTTTGCCTATTTATAAAACACACTGAAAGTACTGAATATGTTGTTCACAATTCAAACAAGATAACAAGACATTGGAACGGAATTTTTACAAAGAGTAGTCAAGCTTCTAAATAGTGAAGAGTAGTAGTGGTGAAGCAAGCCAAATTTGATCTCATTTCACTTTCTGTTTTACATGAGTAACTTCTATGTATTATTTCTTTTTTTTTTTCAAAGGTTTTACTTCTAAGAGTTTGTTTTTCTTTAGAATATGAATTTGGTAATGATGTTGCTGTTATGTTTACTGCCATTTTGAGAGTTTTAAAGTTACAGTTTTGGTAGATGTAAAAGAAATTCACGAACCATTTATATTGTTTTTTATGATCTGGAAGTAGGTAACATGGCACTGAAAAGGAGATTTTTCATGGTAATGCAAAAGACAACCACAGAAAATATTGAGAAACAAAAAATATTAAGAAAAATAAAAGCCTTTAATTTCCAGTTTGTCTTGTTTCATCTAACCTTTCTTTTGGGAAAAATAAAAAATACTTTGACTTAATTTAGCTCATTTAAGAATACTTCTTTCTTAAAGGGACTGTGCCTAGAATATAGCCCTGTCCCTCTACACCTCCCATTGGCAAATTTGGGAACGCGGGCATGATGCACCCCACACATTTCCTTTTAGACCATCTCAGGAGGTGAGGAACTTGGGCTCAGGGGCCAGCCTCAGGAGGAATTCCAGGTCATACCAAGAGTCAAGCAGAGGACCATGAGGACTAAGGGAACCACTCACATTATAAAAGTGGGGACACCACAGAATCCCTCCCCTAGGGTCAGCCATGAGTGACCACAGGCAGGCATGCCTATGAGGGAGCCTTCACATCCTCTGAGGTTATCTCAGGGAATTCAAGGCTGTAGCATGAGAGGACAGGCCTCCCTAGGACATGGGAAGTCAGTGTGAGGACCTGGAGAGAGGGCTGAGGGGAACCTCAACCCAAAGGAGAGAGGAACACATAGCCCCAGCACTGTTTCAGCTCTGGGAGCCCCGGGCAGAAGTAGTCAAATGTATTACCCACTTGCTTCCAGCTTGGGAGGACTCTGGTCAATATGGGGAAGAGGCCCAGACCCTGAGAGAGTGAGTACTCTCAAGGTCACCGTCCCCAGAGCAAGGGAGGCCAGAGAATCCTGCCCTCTGCTGCTAGTTCTCAGAAGTCCCCCAAAACACCTGTGGGTAAACATGGTCTACTCTGACTTCTTTATCTGGGGACTGAGGGTGTTATGGGCTTTGGTATAAGGCCGGCTGACACGGCATAGGGGAAATCTCAGGGTGGTCTAGAAGGTAGGGTGAGGACCAGAGGATGCAGAGGAACATGAAAACCATAGCAATGGGGCAGCCATAATCCGTCCCTGCTGTCAGTACTGGCAGACACTTGGATAGATGTCAGGCCGAGCAGAGGAACCATCGATTACCCTCAGGGTGACAGAAAAGTGAAGACAGTAATAGTGAAGAGAGGGAGGATATATAGGTCTCCCCAGGAGTCAAACTGAGGAGCTTGAGTGAGGACTGGTGGGGCCAGCCATCAGAAGGCCTTAATTTGCCAGCCATAGCTTTCTGTCTTGAGAGACCACAGGTAGATGTGGTAAGTTAGGCGATCCTTGCTTTCTTCTATTGGGTCTCAGAGAGTTGTGGGCCTTACTCTGAGCACATGTCCTCAGGTAAAGCGAGAGGAGCTGCAAGACCTCCCAGGAGTTCAACTGAGAACCCTGCGGGGTGACTAAGGGAACAAACTCAACCTCCTGAGTCGGGGACAACAGAGTCTAGCCATGCCCTTGCTTTCGGCACTTGAAGGCTCTGCACAGGGTTGTTGGGCATGGGCTCCTTAACATCAGGTCTAAGGGACAGGACATCTTTAGCCTGAAGGGCAGAAGGGTGGTCCCAGGCTCTACGTGCAGCCAAGATGAGAGCACTGAGTAGAGAGTGAGCACCCAGTGATGGAAAGGATTCCTGGAGCACCTGGACGGAGAGGATTCCACAGAGCCATCAGCACTGGGTTCCCCTGTCAGGGCAGACAGCTGGGGAGCCCCTTGCTTCTATCTCATGGGTCCCAGGGACCACAGAGGTGTCAACTTCAGAGTAGTAGAGGGGAGGAAACCCAGGCCCTGTCTACTGTCTGCATGACAATCCTGAAGATGAACTGAGCAGACTCCTCACAGAGACGGTCTCACTGGCAGCCACTGCTGTCACCCTAGTGAGACTCTGGTAGGGCTAGCACCCTGAAGCCCAGCACTCACTCTCACTTCCTTCTCAGCGGTCTCAGGGGACAGGCTGACCAGGACAACAGGAGCCCTGTGGGTCCTAGAGCAGTGGCCTCAAGGACCCCTCAGAGGTAGGTTTGGTTCAAGCCAGGTAGGATTCTTCCCACTGAAGGTGCTCACAGCATCTCCTTGACCCTCCTCCAGGTGCCCTCATCGCCTGACTTCCTACCCATATGCCTGCCTGTGGTCCCTGACCTGTGTCACCATGCCTCGGAGGCACAAGAACAAGTACTATGCCTGCCTGAAATGCCGCCAGGTCTGGAGGGACACTCAGCATCCTGTGGAGGCCCAGCCCAGTGCTGCTGCAGCTGCAGAAGAGGAGCGCCCCTTCTCTCCCTCTTCTGTCCCTTAGGGTTCTCCCACTGAGCTCCCCTGAGGGTGGTGCTCACCAGAATCTTCAGGGAGCTGTGCACCCCACCACAGCTTCTTGGGGGGCTTTATAGACAAGATCTGATGAAGGTGCCAAGAGCAAGGTGAGGAGAGGAGCAGCATATCCCTGGCAGCTCCCTGCACTGAAAGCTAACACACAGAGATACTCTAAGCAGGAAGGAGACATGCTGCTTAGTTATTGGTTATTGGTACAGTTTCTGCTACACATCTATAAAATGGAAGATGCATTACAAAGCAGACATGGTAAAGGCTTTCCAAAAAAAGTATCAGGACCAATTCCCCGAGATCCTCAGGAGATCCTCTGAATGGATGGAGCTGGTCATTGACCTTGAATAAAAGAAGTAAACCCTGATGCTCTTGTCAGTGCACTGAACCTCCCAACAACAGAAATCTGACTGGTAGTAAGAAGGTGCCCACACCTCATCATCATCTTCATTAAGGCCAACTGAACCACAGAAAAGATTTGAGAAAATTTTTTGCTTTGCTTTCACTTTTTTGTTGTTTCTTTTTACAAAATTTTTCTATAATTGACATATAACATGATCTTAGTTTTTGGTATATAACATCATAATTCCATATTTGTGTTATGTCGTGAAATGATCACCACAATTAGTCTAGTTAACATCTATCACTATATATAGTATATAGGTTTTTTGTGATGAAGACCTTAAGATATACCTCTTAGCAACTTTACAATATGAAATATAGTATTATTAACTATGGTCACCATGCTATACATTAAACCTCATCCTCATAACTTTTTAATTTTATAACTGAATAAGCTTGGAATATATGCTGGGAGAAAGAATTCATATATGAAGGGTCCAGGAAGCTCATCACCAAAGATATGGTGTAGCAGAAGTACCTGGAGTAACCCCAGGTGCCCAACAGTGATTCCTGTGCTATGAGTTCCTGTGGTGCCCAAGGGCCCATCTGAAACCAGCAAGATGAAAGTGCTGGTGTTTTTTGACCAAAGTAAAAAAAAAAAAAAAGCCAGAGTCAGTGCATTCTATCCCAATATGATAAAGGTTTCAGAACTGAGGAAGAGAGCCTGAGGAATAGATGCAGCCAGGATTAGCACCAAAGTTAGCACCGAAGGCTCATTACTAGCAACTACCTCTAACTCCATGGTAAAGAATCCCCCTGAATGCAGGAGACAGAAGAGATTTGGTTTCGATCCTTGGGTCAGGAAGATCCCTTGGAGAAGGGAATGGCATCCCACTCCAGTATTCTTGCCTGGAAAATCCCAGGTCAGAGGAGCCGGGCAGGCTACAGTATAAGAGAAGATTTGACACGACTGAGCACAGCACATGACACAGCACTTTTGTATCAGGTGAAGTCTGAGGGAGCTTCTTCAACTTTTCAGTGAAGCACGTAGTTAATGTTTGAAGCAGTGACAGAGCAAGGTGCAACTGGGAGAAATACAGTGCATATTTTCTGTTTATTCCTCTTCCATATAAGTAACTTGTAGGTGTATTTCTTTTATTCTTTTTCAAACATTGTTTCTTTCCAGTTAAGGTTTATTTGACTTCAGAATCAAAGTTTATAAATGACATTATTTGGTAGCTAGTCAGACTTGAGGAGATCTTGCCCCATCCTGGATGACTTGTCTTTCCCTTCACCAGCTGAAGACTGGTGGTCAGAGCACACCTAGAGAGCCTCTCTCCTGTGGTCAAGGACCACCACTAGCTTTCCTGCCATGTCAGGACCAACCAAGACAAAACTACCAGCACAGGTGGGCGTTGGCACACCAGCAACTGAAAACTGACTCAAGGAAACCCAAGGATCATTATGCCGTATTTGTAATGAATTAGCATTGCTGTTTTTGTCCCCCACCTGCCTCCCCTAGTGGTTCTCACTTCAGAGCAAATGGGTAAGCACCTGCACATTAAGAGTAAAGTTCAATAACCTAAAGCTGTCAATCAACTTGTCAGTCAAATGACACAAGACACACCCAGCCCTACCCCACTGTGGGGCTGTTTGTGCTTTCCAGACAGTACGCTCTCAACCTTTCTTGAGACTGTACTTTTGCTCTGCTTAATAAAACTCCTGCTACTTAAAACTGCTCTATGCTTCTCATTGAATTCTTTCTTTTTGGAAGGGCAAGAATAAGAAATCGCTTTTCACCATTGACATATTTGGTGCAGTGACTAGGATTGCTGCTGAGGGAAACTGCAGTGGTCTTGCCCAAATTGCCAGCTGGAGATTCCTGACTTTCGCTCTCTCTCTCCCATGAGAACTTGCTTGCTGTCACTCTATGCTTTGTTCTCTTTCCAAGACCCACAGGGCACAATCTAGGTCAGCTCACTGTATCATGGTTCCCCTCAACTGAGTTGTCAGGAGTACCCCCAGGCTGTGCATACCAAAGAACACTCACGTGGCAGTTGACACTGTCCTTGGGGCCTGGTGGAAACAGAATTTCCAATGGTGAAGGAGCCCACTGAAGCCAAGACGTTTCTCCTCTCAATTTTTGTCATTTCCTCTATGGCTCTATCCATTTTGAGGTGAGAAGTTTAACAAAGATGACCGCACAGCGTGCAAATTAATATCGTACAAATAATCAAGGACTTGATTGGGTGAATTTCCCACTCTGTGGGTCCTTGAGCCCAATTCCCTCCCTACTCGTTGTTAGTCCCATTCTGGTTCCAGGACCCTGGAACTGCATCAGGGGCCAAAACTGGGGGACTTTGCATCCTTCTCTAGATTTTTGGCCTGCCTCACTGCACCCCTGACTGTATGTCGTGGGCAAGCCCTTCCCTCCTGGGGGTCTCAAGCAGACTTTATCAATGCCAGAGCAGAGGCAGTAAGTGAGAACCTTTCTCAGCAGGCTTAGGACTCTCTGCCTAGGAAGCATCATAGCTCTACATCTTCCCTCATATCCTGAATTTCTCTTATATCCCCCTTCTCTCTAGACTTCTCAGACTGTCTCTTGATCCTTGAGCCTCCTGCTGGTTAGGTGTTGCCTCTTTCACTTCTATAAAGTAGTGTGCTCAGTCACTAAGTCATGTCTGACTCTTTGAGATCCTATGGACTGTAGCCCACCTGGATCTTCTGTCCATGGGATTTCCCAGGTAAGAATACTACAGTGGGCTGCATTTTCTTCTCCAGGGTTTCTTTCCAAGCCAAGGATCAAACCCACATCTCCTGTTTGGCAGGTGGATTCTTTGCCACTGAACAACATGAAAGCCCCCTTTTCTCCTTTACATGTATAACAATTTTCAATTATATACCAAATATAATGAACTTTACACTCTTCATACTTACACAGCACAAAGGAACTGAACAGTTTTCTTTAAATACCTGTATCTTGAGCTTTGTTCTGGGACTCAATTAAATGACTTTGAAGCACTATGATCTCTTTTTCCTGCTTTTAAGCTGTTAGGTGTGATAATAGAGCATAAACCTGGGGTTCATATAGCATCACTACAGACACAAGTCTTTCTGAGGACTCTCTCTGACGCCCTGGGCAGGATGTGATTTTCTACTATGACTAAAAGAAACAAAAACTATTCTGTGCTGTGTGTGGGCCCCAGAATTCTCTGTGTATGTGTGTAGTTCTCACCCTCCACTCCTCTGTCCTGTGAATTCTCAGAGGGGCCCCTAGGTCCTCCTATGACCCTCAGCCTCATTTCAACTTGGAAGGCGGCCAGGTTTCACCTGACCTGCTGTCCCCATGCTTCAGGTACATGGCAGCAAGCTGAGGTCATTCTAGGTTCGCCGTGCCTGTTTTCAATCTTTCAGGAGTCATGGTCTTTCCTAGTCACATGTCCAACCTATGAGAAATGGTTCTCATAATTATTTTGCCATTTTGTTGGGTTGTCTAGTTAGACATTTCAGGCGAGCCATTGAATCTGCTCCCTGTTATTCCATCTTTGCCTGTAGTGGCAGTACAATACAAATTTAAAACCCAAATTAGCACAGCATGCGAATGCCCTGAAATGGAATTCAACATTTCAAACACATTTAAATTAAAACTAAGCTCAAAAGCTTGTGGGAAACACATACACATTTACACAACTAATATATATGTATATGTGTTATATATATGCACACATACATGTATATGTGAATACATATTTTATTTTATCCCATTAATCTGTCTAATGTGAAATTAATTCTTAGACCACCAAGAGGAATCTGGAAGGGCAGAGGGAAATTTCTTCCATCCCTATATTAGCTACACCTCACATACCGATTTCTATGCTCAAAGTCCCACTTCATGAAAGTTTTCAATCACAACCTGGACTGCTAATAAAGTCATTAATGATTTCACTCGTTGATATAATTCCATATGTCTTTGTGCATTGATATTTTATTCTCACAGTATTATTTATTGCAAGTACTTTTTTTGCTTCTTTAAAAGAAATATATTCTCTTCATTGCAGTGATCATTTTTATTTCATTATTTTTGAATAATTCTCTCTTTCCAAAATTCATTAATCCCTGTTATTGTTGTTCAGTCACTAAGAATATATGACTTTTTGCAACCCCAAGGACTACAATATATAGGCTTCCTTGTCCTGCACTACCTCCCTGAGTTTGCTCAAAATCATGTCAATTGAGTTAGGGATGCCATCCGACCAGCTGATCCTCTGTCAGCCCTTTCTCCTCCTGCCCTCAATCTTTCCTAGCATCAGGGTCTTTTCCAATGAGTTGGCTCTTGGCATCAGTTGGTCAAAATACTGGAGCCTCAGCTTTAGCATCAGTCCTTCCAATGAATATTCAGGGTTGCTTTTTTTTAGAATGACTTGTTTGATCTCCTTGCATCCCAAGGGACTCTCAAGAGTCTTCTCCAACATCACAGTTCGAAAGCATTGATTTATCAGTGCTCAGGCTTCTTTATGGTACAACCCTCACATTCCTACATGACTAATGGAAAAAAAAAAACATAGCTTTGCTATACAGACCTTTGTCAGCAAAGTGACATCTTTGCTTTTTAATACGCTGTCTAGGTTTGTCATAGCTTTTCTTCCAAGGAGTAAGCATCTTTTAATTTCATGGCTGTAATCCTTGTCTGCTGTGATTTTGGAGCCCAAGAAATTAAACTCTGTCACTGTTTCCATTTGTTTCCCATCTATTTGCCATGAAGAGATTGGATCAGATGCCAAGATCTTAGTTTTTTGAATGCTGAATTTTAAGCCAGCTTTTTCACTCTGATTATCACCTTCTTCAAGAGGTTCTTTAGTTCCTCTTTGCTTTCTGCCATCAAAGTGGTATCATTTACATATATGAGGTTGTTGATATTTGTTTAAGAACTCTTGATTCCAGCTTGTGAGTCATCCAGCCCGGCATTATGCATGATGTACTCTGCATATAAGTTAAATAAGCAGGGTGACAATATACAATCTTGATGTACTCTTTTCCCAATTTTTAGCCAGTTATTTCATGTCCAGCTCTAACTGTTGCTTCTTGTTCTGTATTCAGGTTTCTCAAGAGATAGGTCAGGTGGTCTGCTATATCCATCTGTATAAGAATTTTCCCTAATTTGTTGGATGCATACACAGTCAAAGTGTTTCATGTAGTCAATGAAACAAGAGTAGATTTTTTTGGGGAATTCCCTCACTTTTTCTATGATCCAATGGATGTTGGTAATTTGATTTCTGGTTCCTCTGCCTCTCTAAATCCAGCTTGTACATTAGCTGACTCTTTGCAACCCCATGGACTACAATATATAGGAATACATTCCTATAAATTCCAATACAACTGGAATTTCTCAGTTCACATACCTCTGATGGTTTTTGAGCATAATCTTGCTAGCATGTCAAATAAGTGCAATTGTATGGTAATCTGAACATTCTCTGGCATTGTCTTTCTTTAAGATTGGAATGAAAACTGACCTTTTCCAGTCTATGGCCACTGCTGTTTTCTAAATCAGGTGACATATTGAGTGCAGTATTGTAACAGCATCATCTCTTAGGATTTGAAATAGCTCAGCTGGAATTCTATCATCTCTACTACCTTTGTTGGTAGTAATTCTTCTTAAGGCCCACTTGACTTCATACTCCAGAATGTCTGGCTCTAGGTGGGTGATCACACCATTGTGGTTATCTGGGTCATTAAGGCCTTTTTCTGTACTGCTTTTCTGTGTATTCTTGCCACCTCTTCTAATCTCTTCTGCCTCTGTTAGGCCCTTGCTGTTTCTGTCCTTTACTGTGCCCATCTCTGCATGAACTATTTCCCTGAGATCTCCAGTTTTCTTGAAGAGAACTCTAGTCTTTCTCATTCTATTGTTTTCCTCTACTTCTTTGCATTGTTTACTCTAGAAGGCTTTCTTATCTCTCCTTACTATTCTCTGAAACTCTGCATTATGTCGGGTATATCTTTCCATTTCTACCTTGCTTTTGTCTGGTCTTCTTTCCTCAGCTATTTGTAAAGCTTCCTCAGACAACCACTTTGCCTTTCTGCATTTTGTTTTCATTGGGATGGTCTTGATCACTGCCTCCTGTACAATGTTACAAACCTCTGTCCATAGCTCTTCATGCACTCTATCAGATCTAATCTCTTGAATCTATTTGTCACCTCCACTGTATAATCATAAGGAATTTAATTTAGGTCATTCCTAAATGGCCTACTGCTTTTCCCTACTTTCTTCAATTTGAGCCTAAAGTTTGCAAAAAGGAGTTGATGATCTGAGACACAGTCAGCTCCAGGTCTTGTTTTTGCTGACCATATAGAGCTTTTCCATCTTCAGCTGCAAAGAATATAATCAATCTGATTTCAGTATTGACCATCAAGTGATGTCCTTGTATATAGTCGTCTCTTGTGTTGTTGGAAGAGGGTTTTGCTGAGACTAGAGTGTTCTCCTGGCAAACTCCGTTAGCCTTTACCCTGCTTCATTTTGTACTCCAAGGCCAAACTTGCTTGTTACTACATGTATCTCTTGACTTTCTACTTTTGCATTCCAGTCCCAAATGATGAAAAAGACTTTTTTTTAGTTGTTAATTTTAAAAGGTTTTTTAGGTTGTAAACAGCCATTCAACTTCAGCTTCTTCAATATTAGATTTGGGGGCATAGAGTTGGGGCATCACATTACAGTGATGTTGAATAGTTTTCCTTGGAAAATAACAGAGATTATTCTGTTGTTTTTGGTATTTCTCCCCAGTACAGCATTTCAGACTCTTCTGTTAACTATGAGGGCTATTCCATTTTCTCTAAGGGATTCTTGCCCATAGTAGTAGATATAATGGTCATCTGAATTATATTCACCCAATTCTTTCCATTCTAGTCACTGATTACTAAATTGAATTATATTCACACAATCCTCTCCATTTTTGTCACTGATTACTAAAATATTAAAGTTCACTCTTGCTAATTCCTACTTGACCACATCCAATTTACTTTGATTCATGGACCTAACATTCCAGGTTCTTATCAATATTTTTCTTTATAACATTGCACTTTACATTCACACCACACACATCCAAAACTGTCATATCTTTTTGCCTTTTCATTGGGTTCACTGGATTCTCAAGGCAAAAATACTGAAGCTTTTTGCAAATCTTTATGATCTAATGATAATTCTGCATACTTCCATGATAGATGATATATACATTATTTGCTGACAATGAAATTATCCTACAGTATTTTTATCCTTTCTTTTCAAAATATGGGACTATGTACTCTAAAACAGATAAAAAATTAATGAATAAACACCAGTATTTTTCCCAATACAGTCTGGTACTTTAACTGGTATTTCATGCTTGCAATAAAACTCTCCTTATTTGACACTTTATCATCTTGTTTCTTTAATATGCTCTTGCTAAAGGTCTGAATGATTGGCTGGTTCTTACATACTTTTTAAGCAGTTATACAGCATTACTGGATTATAAGGCTGTTACCCCATGTTACTTTATCATTTATTCTGTCACTTTTGCCCTTTGGGAAACTCTTATGTTAGATATTCATTGCTGAGCATGAAAAGATTCCTATACTTTTATCTGTATCAAAAACCATTTATGCTCAACACTCTGTATCTTTAATTTCTCAGACTGAAAAAACATACTCAGCTTCTATTTCACTAAACATCCATCTCTCGACATGAAAATTGCCAAACTCTTTGACATTTCGTGCTAACCTGAACATCAAGGTGTGGTGCACCTCATACAATTTAAAAGTACACATCTCTCAAGCCATCTGTACCTTGTATATTTGAAAAAAGCATAAATTATGTACAGTTCTAGCCAATCCATCTTGAAACAGTAAGTTTCTCCCACTCTTCTGAGATTTTTAAGAGATTCTCCTAACCTCTTAACATCACAATTAGCTTCTGAACAACAATCAAGAGGATGATGCTGGAACCCACCAAAAAAATGATACTCCATGCCTAAAGAAAAAGGAGAAGCCACAACAAGAAGGAAGCAGTGGTGCAATCACATTAAAATCAAATCCCATACTTGCCGGGTGGTTGTTCCACAAACTGGAGAACAAAAATACCAAAAATGTTCTCTCACTATTTCAAATGTTCTAGACCCCAAATTAGACTTCCAAACCTGGGAATCTGCCATAGAGACTGGGACTCCCCAAGGAACTTGACTTTGAAGGCCAGTCAGATTTGATTACAGAACTTCCAAAGGACTGGGAAAAATAGAGACACTTGAAGGGCACAAACAAAACCACCAGGACCCAGGGAAACAGGCAGTGTCCCCACAAGAGACTGAGCCAGACCTGCCTGTGAGTATCTGAGGGTCTCCTGCAAAGGAATGGGTTAGCAGTGGACTGTGGTGAGGATAGGGGCACTGCTAGCAGTGGTCCTGTGAGGAACCTGTTGGCCTAAGCCCTTTGGGAGGTCACTTCAGTCCTACCATAGAGCCTACAGACTGGAGGATTGTGCTGCCTCAGGCCAAAAACCTAACAGGGAGGCAGCACAGCCCCAATCATCAACAGGCAATTGGATTAAAGTTTGACTGAGCATGGCCCTGCCCACCAGAGCAAGACCCAGCTTTCCCCACAGCCAGTCCCTTCCATCAGGAAGCTTGCACAAGCCTCATTCTCAGCCATCAGAAGTACAATCCTACAACATCCAGAACAAAAACCACAAACACAGAAAGCTAACCAAAGTGATCACATGAATCACAGCCTTCTGTAATTCAAAGAAGCTATGAGCCATGCATGCATGGTGACTTGCAAATGGATCATGGTGGAGAGTTCTGACAAAAAGTGGCCCACTGTGAAAGGGAATGGCAAACCACTTCAGTATCCTTGTGTCAAGAACCCCATGAACAGTATGACAAGGCAAAAAGCTATGACACCAGAAGATGAGTGGCCCCCCCAGGGTGGTTGGTGTCCAATATGCTACAGGAAAAGAATGGATAAATAGCTCCAGAAAGAATGAAGAGGCTGTGTCAAAGCTGAAATGATGCTTAGCTGTGAATGTGTCTGCTGGTGAAAGAAAAGTCTAATGTTGTTAAGAAAAATATTGCATAGGAACCTGGAATGTGATTAGGTTCATGAATCAAGGTAAATTAGACATGATCAAGTTGGAGATGATAAGGGTGATCAAGACATTTTAGGAATCAGTGAACTAAAATGGAAAGTAATGGGTGAATTTAATTCATATAACTTTTATATCTACTACCGTTGGCAAGAATCCATTAGAGAAAATTCAATAGTGTTCACAGTGAACAAGAGAGTCTGAAAAGGAGTACTTGGGTGAAATCTCAGAAACGACAGATGTCGGTTCTTTTCCAAGGCAAAAGATTCTAAATCAGAGTAATATAAGTCTATGCCCCAACCACTCATCCCAAAGAAGCTGAAGTCAAAAGGTTCTATGAAGATCTATAAGACCTCTAGAACTAAAACCAAAAAATATCCTTTTTATCACAGGGGAATAGAATATAAAAGTAGGAAGCCAAGAGCTATATGGAGTAACAGGCAAGCTTGGCTTTGGAGTACAAAATGAAGTTGGGCAAAATCTAACAGTTTTGCAAAGAGAACACACTGGTCACCCTCTTCCAACAACATAAAAGATGACTCTACACATGGACCCCACCAGATGGTCAACAGCAAAATTAGATCAATTATATTCTTTGCAGCCAAAGATGGGAAAGCTCTACACAGTGAACAAAAACAAGACCTGGAGGTAACTATGGCTCAGATCATCAGCTCTCTATTGCAAAATTCAGGATTAAATTGAATAAAGTAGAGAAAACCATTAGGCAATTCAGGTATGACCTGATTAAATCCTTTATACAGCAGAGGTGACAATAGATTCAAGGGATTAGATCTGGTGGACAGAGTGCCTGAAGAACTATGGATGAAGGTTTGTAACACTGTGTAGGAGGCAGTGATGAAAACCATCCCTAAGAAAAAGAAATGCAAGAAAGCAAAATGGTTTTCTGAGGAAGACTTACAAACAGATGATAAAAGAAGAGAAGCACAAGGCAAAGGAGAAAAAGAAAGATATATCCAACTGAATGCAGAGTTCCAGAGAAGAGCAAGGAGACATAAGCAAAACCTTCTGAAGTGAACAATGCAAAGAAACAGAGGAAAACAATAGAATGGGAAAGACTAGAGATCTCTTGAAGAAAATTGGAGATATCAAGGGAACATTTCATGCAAAGATGGGTACAATAAAGGACAGGAAAGACAACGACCTAACAAATGTAGAAGACATTAAGAAGAGGTGGCAAGAATACACAGAACTGTACAAAAAAGGTCTTAATGACCCAGATAACCATGATGGTGTGGTCACCCACTGAGACCCATGCATTCTGGAGTATAAAGTCAAGTGGATTTAGGAAGCATTACTAGAAACAAAACTAGTGGAGGTGATGGAATTCCAGCTGAGCTATCTAAAATCCTAAAAAAAATGATACTCTTAAAGTGCTGCACTCAATATGTCAGCAAAGTTGGAAAACTTAGCAGTGGCCACAGGACAGGAAAAGGTCAGTTTTCATTCCATTCCCAAAGGTAGGCAATATCAAGGAATGTTCAAACTACTATACAATTGTGCTCAGTTCACATGCTAGGAAGGTAATGCTCAAATTTCCTCAAATTAGGCTCCAACATTACATGAACTGACAAATTCCAGATGTATAAGCTGGATTTAGAAAAGGCAGAGAAACCAGACACCAAATTGCCAACATCCGTTGGTTCATAGAAAAGACAAGGCAATTCCAGAAAAACATCTATTTCTGATTCATTGACTACAATAAAGGCTTTGAGATTGCACACAAGAACTGCATTTCGGACTCTTTTGTTGACTATGAGGGCTAATCCATTTCTTCTAAGGGATTCTTGCCCACAGTAGTAGATACAATGGTCATCTGAGTTAAATTCACCCATTCCAGTCAATTTTAGTTCACCAGTTCCTAAAATGTTAATGTTCACTCTTGCCATCTCTTGTCTGAGCACTTCCAACTTACTTTGATTCATGGACCTAACATTCCAGGTTCCTATGCAATATTGTTCTTTACAGCATTGGATTTTCCTTCCATCACCAGTCACATCAACAACTGGGCATTATTTTTGCTCTCTGTCTCTTCATTCTACCTGGAGTGATTTCTCCACTCTTCTCCAGTAATATATTGGGCACCTACCGACCTGGGGAGTTCATCTTTCAGTGTCATATCTTTTTGCATTTTCATACTGTTCATGGGAAAGGCAAGAATACTTAAGCAACTGCCATTCCCTACTCCAGTGGACCATATTTTGGCGTAATGGAAAAACTCTATACAGTCAGCAAAAACAAGACCGGGAGCTGACTGTGGCTCAGATCATGAACTCCTTATTGCTAAATTCAGACTTAAATTGAAGAAAGTAGGGAAGA